CTAAATATATTACAAATATAAGTAAAAAAGAAATACTTAAAGAAGAGAAAAAAATAGAAGAAATAAAAAAACTAAACAGTATAGAAAAAAACACAAACTTCAATAACAAAAAAAAGATATCAAAATCAGCAAAAGAAGAAATGCTTTAAGAAAAACTAATCCAAATAATAAATATAATTGTTAAGCAAATAGAAGAGCTAAACATCAATGTATAACAAAATATGCAACAAAAATTTTTTTACCAAACTCAAACCAAACATCTATAAACAAATCAAATAAAATAGAAGAAACAAGAAAAAAAAAAACAAAAAAAAAAACACAAAGGCACCAAAATATAATATTATCCAAGATGTTAGAAAAAATATAAAAAACATCAACAAGAAAATAATAGAATTAAAAGAAAAAAAATATGACTTATGGAGATCTAATTCTTATTGACACAATTAAGCACAACCAATGGTCATCAGAAAATAGAGTATGTAGCAGGAACAAGTTCTTTAAAGCAAATATGCCAGCATATATTTTGCTAGAAAATCAAATGATAAAAGGATAATATACATGCAATGGATTTTGAGTAAAAACCATCACATTAAAGCAATTAAAGAAGGTTTCAAGAATAGAAACAACTGAGTAGAAGTAGACTTTGATTGCAAACATAGTTGAGATACAGCAATAAACAGAATTCAAGAAAAGAAAATAAATAGCTCAAGCTTATTCCAGAAAAGGAGAAAAACAAAAAACCAAAACTCAAACAACAAGTCAAAAATAACAACAAAAAAGAAAAAGAAGAATACAAAAACTAACCTAAAAAGATAAATATAAAAAGATGAAAGACTTGTTTATAACAGAAAATGAAACAAATTCATATAACTATTTTACAATATAGGACTTACCTGTGAACATTAATACAGAGAAAATCAAATATATGTGCAAAAGTTTCAAGAAGTTACAAATAATATGCACTAAAAGATCTAAACACAAAGCATTAGTAGTAGTTCAAGTAGACCAACTTATTAATGAGAGCATTCTATGGACTTTGCCAATTAGTGTTTACAAGTTGGCAAGAATAACCAAAGGTAATGAAGATTATATCCAACATGATCTTCAAAACTTGTTTACAACAAGATTAACAGGGCTTTTAGACAATGCTGTAAAGTTTTGTTACTATGCTGCTTAAAAAACAAGAAAGCAAAATTAGTTTACATATTATCTAATAGAAATGAAACCAAAAAAGAGTAGCAACAATCATCTTTGTATTAGAAAAAGAAATAGAAATAGCACAATCCAAACTAATAAGATTTAACAATCACCTTTCATATTGAAAAAACTTTTTTTTTTTTTAACTATTTTAGATGATATCATCATGGGGCATGTGTGGTGCTCTTTTTATTATAACTGCTAAATTATTATTTACACATTAATAGATTTACTAAGCTAGGTATTTATAGATTTTCCTATATATAGGTTTGATAAAGTTTTTGTCATACAGTAGACTGATCTCTTTGAAGATTCTGTTCTTTGCTATAGCTAAAATTGTAGATTCTGGATATTGTATATTTCCTCATTTAAAAGCAGTGTGACAGCACCAGATTTCATATATAGTGTATGTATATAACTATAATATGGTCTTATATATTTTTGTTTTCTCTGTAATGTTTTTTAAAAATATTTTTTCTAACGAGTCTGAGATGGATTCAGTTTGGCCTGTTCTTAGAAATTTGTATGCTTCCATCCAAATTTTTTTACTAATTTTGTATTCTGTTGCAAAGTGTTCAATAGTTTGTATGTTTTCTGGACACTAGAAACATTCACCTGATTCTGTTGCTACAAAGTGATGGAGTCTATATTCTAGTAGTAAGGCTCTGTAAAAGAGTCACCAGAAGATGTCTTTTTTTCTACTGAGTATTGCTTTTTGGAGAATCCAGTTATTGCTTTGAGTTTGCTCTATAGGGTCTAAATGATTTGTAGTCTTGAAATTAAGTTTTCTTAAAAGCTCTATTGTGAATTTGACTATAATTTCTGGTCCTTTTTTTTATCCATTTCTAGTTCTAAAAGATTCCAGGATCAGTTGGATTCTGTTAGAACCTCTCCTTTAGCTTTTTTTCATGCTAAAAGGTAGAGTTTCCATTCCATAGACCATGCTTTAGTCCTAATTAGTTGTATAGAGAGTGCTTTTATAGCTAAGATATTTCTTTTTTGATTAACTATAAGGAAGATTCTTTTTCTTTCTATTTTTGCCCATAGAAGATTACTTGAAATTAGTTTCAACCAAACTGAGATTAGCCTAGCTTCTAGCATATTGCTAACTATTGGTGCTTATAAGCCTTCTTGTTTGTATGGTTGTTGAAAGGTAGAGTATTTCAGAAGCATTTTGAAGTTATTTTTGATCTAATAGGTGATAAGCCTGTTGATTTCTGCTATCTGTTTCTTGCTTGGTAGCATTAGGTAAGTAACATACCAGATCTTTGAAAGAAGCAGTGAGTTTGCCAACATAATTTTTTCTTTTAAAGATAAATTTCTATAAGTGAGCTTTTTTAGGTTTAGTTTAAGTTTGCTTATAGCTTCTTGCTATAAGCCTTTTTTTGGTGTACCATCCGCAGTGATACTATATTCTAAAACTGTAACATGGTTTTGATTTCCTAGTTTTTTAAATTGAGTTTCTTTTGGAAGAATTTTTTTTCTGCCATGCTTGTAAGTAGCATTAAATTAGTTTTGAACTTGTTAATTTTTGCATTAGAGGCTTTTTCGTAGTTATCAAATAGGTCTAATATTGTTGTCCAATCAGAGAGAAAGCTAATGCCTATTGTTAAATCATCTGCATAGGCAGTATACTTAAAAGATTGGTTGTTGATCTTGATTCCTTTTATGTTTTTGTCTATCATATTTAGCAGTGGTTCAAATGCTAATATGTATAAAAGAGATGAGAGCAGGTCTTCTTGTCTGACTTCTCTTTTTACTCTAAAGGAGTTTAAGATGTATTCTGAGTCTAAGATATGGGCTTCTTGTCGAGAAAATAGATTTTTTATTAGGTCTTTAAATTCTTTGTTGAAGCCCATATTTTCTAGTACCAGTTGAAGGAACTCATGACTTATTCTGTCAAATGCTTTTTGCTAGTCTATGAATAGCATCCAGTGCTCTTTTGTATTATCTTTTTGGTTTCTTAATATTGTAAGAATATCTAATATGAAGTCTGTGATTAATCTGTTTGTAATGAAGCCTTGCTGATGTTGAGGTACAATTACTTCACAAATTGTATTTAGTCTATTGGCAATAATTTTTATGAAAATTTTTGCATTGCAGTTGACCAGTGAGATAGGTCTTCAGTTGTTTATATTGTATAGTTCCTTTGATTTCTTTGGTATTAGTGTGACTAGATTTTTGCACCATGAGGAGGGCATTATTCCTGAGATTAATACTTGGTTGAAGATTTGTTCTAAAATAGGTGTAATGTGTTCTTCTGTGAGTTTATAAAATTTGTATATAAGGCCATCCAGTCCTAAGAACTTGTTATTTGGTAGTTTTTAGATAGTTGATAAGATTTCTTTTTTGAAGATAGGGTCTGTTAGTTTTTTGTTCATTTGTGTAAAGACCTGTAGAAGGTTTTTAGTAATTTGGTTTGCTATTTCATTGTTGATTTCTTCTTTGCTATATATCATAGAGTATTGTTCTTTAATATAATTAAGCACTTCTTTTTTATTAGATTGTTTCTGAGCTGAAGGAATTTGTATTTTTGTCAGAACTGAACATGAGCTTTGACTTTTAAAGCATAAGTAGAAGTATTTAGTTAATTTTTCTTCTAGTTCTATTCAGTTTGTTTTTGACTGATGCTGCCATCTTTATGCCAAATCAGTTAATTTTGATTGGACTTGTAAATTAAAATCTTCTAGTGTAACAAAGAGATGCATCTGTCTGGAAGATTTGGCTATAACTTCTTTTAAATGATTAATTTTCTTGTTGAGTTTTTCTATTTTGTCTTCTGGAGCTTTTGGTTTTTTAAAAGCCTTTATAATCGATTTGATGTAGATTTTATGCATGTCCCAGCTTGTTGCAGAATTAGCATCTTTAATTTCATCCAAGATTTCTTTTTTCAGAATATTATTTTTAAAAAAATTTTGGTCGAATCTCCAGAGTGTTGATTGCCTAGGTTTTTGTTCTAAGCTTAGAGTGCATTTAACTAGAAGATGATCAGAGTTTTCAAATCTTGTTCTAGTTTCTAATTTGAAGTGACTGTAGTTTTTATCTATAAAGATATAGTCTAGCCAAGTAGCTATTATTTGGTTGTTAGGCATATTTTGATGGAATGTGTAAAAGGTGTTTTGTTTAGAAAATAAGGCTGAGTCAATAAATTCTTTTGTGATTTCATTAAGTAGTGTTCTTGAAGGGTCATTTTGTAGGGATTCTTGACTCATTCTGTTAATATCTGAGTTCAAGTTTGTGTTTAGATCTTCTGCGATGATATTGATCATATTTTCTTTCTTGTCTATATTCCAATTGTTGAAGAATTCAGTTCTGTTTAAAATGTTAGATGGTACATAAACATTTATCACATAAAAGGAGAATTTCTTGAATGTAAAACATGTTGAGATTATTCTTTCTTCTTGTAGTTTCTTGATGTCATTAAATTTTATATTTTTGTTTTCTGCTAAGATTGCTGTTCTGCCTGTCCAAATTAAGTTAAAAGGCTATTGATCTTTTAAAAATTGTTGAGTGGCAGCATTAAAGGTGTTTGTTTCTTGTAAAAGTATAATGTCTAGTCTATAAGATTTTAAAAGTGTTAATGTTCTAGTCTATTTGTCTAAGTTGTTTAAGCCTTTAACATTTAACGTAGTGATTTTGATTAAGTGACAGCTCATTAAAAAAGATTATTTAGTTTTAGAGCTTCCACAAGCTCTTTGTTTTGGATCATCCTAGTGATTTTCTTTGTTGGTTACTTTGTAGAGTTTTGAGTCTTTAGGTTTTCTTTTTTTACACACAACTAATGTAAAAGTAAAGTCATCTACTTTTCTTTGCTCATTTAGTTGTATATTTTTCAAGTTTGTATTATTAATTACTGGTTCTTTTATTGTATTGAGATTATTTTTGATAGAAATTTCTGTGCAAACAGTATCTGTTTTGTCATCTATATCATGATCTGTCATAATTTCTTCTGTTTCTTGTTCTTGTAAAGAAGTTTCATTTATGTTCATGTCTTGAGTTTCTTCTTGTGTTGAGAGAGTTTCTACCTCTTCCACATATGGATTATTCTCTGTTGAGTTTTTGATAGATGTTCTGTTTTGTGCACTTTTTCTTTTGAATTTTTGATAGTATAGTCTTAGGTTTTTTGCTTCTTGGAATTGTGCAGTCTTTTTTAATATGTTCTGTTTGGTCACAGAAAAAACAGACTTTCAGTGCCTCCTTCTACTCAGTAGTTACTCTATTATCATCTATATATGTGAATTTAGGGATTTTTTTTTCTAAATTTGCATCTTCAGTGTTATCGAAAATGGCAATCCATTGATCTGTCATATAAGAAGTGCCTTCAATAATAGAGGTTTAATTAAGACAATTTTTTCAAAATTCTCAACAGCTTCTTTCACCAAGCTAGAGATGTATTTTTTGGTTCCTAATAGTACATTTCTTACTTTAATTAGTAGAAAAGATTTACATGCATTTGTTGGAATGTAGCCATAATATGTTTCATTAAAAATTTTAATGCCATTGGTGGTATAATATGTTAGTTAGTCTTGGTTTGGAAAGACAATTTCTAAATAAGATCTTAAACTTTTTTTAAAGTGTTGTTTGGTTGCAACAATATTTCCTCCTAGACTTTCATATAAAGAGGTTATAATTTCGTTGAGAGAGTTACGAAGCTTTGAAATTTCAATGATTAGTGTGTTGTTATTTTTTGACTTAATTTGGTTTTTAGGAAAAAAAGCCACAAAGGTTGATTTTCCCCTTTTTAATTTTGCTAACATGTTTGTGCCCTGTTTGGCAGCTGAAGCATAGCTTAAGATGGGTCTGTGTCTGTGCTGTTTCTCTGTAGTACAGCTTGCCTCCTCTTCATTAGTTGTCATCTGACTAATTTTGTCATTGTTTACATTTTTCTCATTTGTTTTTGCTCCAGTGATTAGACATGTTTTCCAAAGCTTGGAAGTTGTTGTTTTTTTAAATAATATTTTCTAGCCAGTCTTCCTTGTTTTGAACTACTACTACTGGTACTAGTTTTTCACTTGCTGTTTCTGTTTCTTTTTGTGTTGCAAGAACACCTTCAGAAGAAATGCTATCAGGCTTTTATGCCTAGGAGTTACTGTCTTCTTCTCTTTCAATGTCAAGTTTTAGCATTTTATAAATTTTTTCTGTCAATAAAGGTTCAACTCTTAGAGGAAGTTTTCTTTTCTTTAGTACAAGGGCTTTGGCTCTTGAAGTGAACTTATTTGTTAAGTTTTGTTTTGTGTTTAGTAACTTTATGATTGTTGTTTTTTATTTTCCTTTTCCAATCAGAGGTAAACAGAAAAGAGTTTTCTACTTTGAAAAAACTTTTAAGAAAAGTGGAATAGAAAAAAAAAAAGTGTCAACAATTAAGACATCCAAATACAAAAAATTTGTATATTAATTTAAATGAAGAAGAGCAGAAGGTTGACAAAAAAGAAATGATCAAAAGAGAAAACAATAAAAGCAAAAGTGGCAGTCAAATAAAACAAACAAGAGAAGATGATCTCAAACAACAAATACAAGACTTGCTTTAAAAAATTTTAAAAAGACAAGACTGACTTGAAGTTCAATAAGAAAAATACAGCTAGATACAGAAGAAGGCTCAGCTAATCACTCCTAAGGGCATCTCAGTTAAACTAATGAAAACAGCTTAAAGGTTTTTTATAAAGAGAAAAAAAAATATTTAAGAAAAGCATAACAACTCTTTATTAAAAAAAAAAAAAAACTAGAAAAAGAAAAAAAAGAGCAAAAAACATAGAAGCAAAACAAAACCAACTAAAAGAAAAATAGAAACAAGAAAAAAAAAAGATTAAAATAGTATATCATAATGTTAATAAATTAAAAACCAAAAGGTAAAAGCTTGAAAATCTGCTTGGCTAGGTAGAAAAAGAGGAAGTTGCAATATTAGAAGTTATAAAAACAAACATTACTAAAAAAAAAAGATTTCTAACATATGTGACAAACAAAAACTATATAAAGTACTAAACAAATGAAGCAAAAGATAAGAAAAAAGGATCAGATATAGAAATTCTAATAGAAGAACAATGAGAAAAGCATGTACTATAAGTGCAGTTAAAAGGATAAGTAAATATATAATAAAGATCACACTATACTTTAAGCAATTGAAGTTAGTAGTAATAGGAGTCTTTATACCTACCACCAAGTAACAAGATGTTAGGAAAAAACATTCAACAAAAAATTGTAGAAATAGTTACTAAACAAAAAAGACAAACACAAGTTATAATTATTGATAACTTTAATTATATAGCAGACAATATATTAGATAGACAACACTCACAATTAGCAAATTTTAAAAGACTACTAATCTTTAATTAGATAAGAAAACAAGACTTCATAAACACATATAGAGATATGCATCCAATAAGTTAAAATTACACATGATCAAACAAGAAAGCTGCAACAAGAATTAACTATATTTAAATATCAAAAAAACTAGTCTTGAGTTTGCAAAAGGCAAATATTAAAGAAGCAGAAGAAATTACAGAAAGTGATCATAAAATAATAACTGCAGAAATATAAATTAAATATATGATAGAGAAAAACAGTAAAGCAGAAGTTAAAAAAAAAGAACAATTAAGAACATTATATTTATATGATTGGACAAAACCAGAGAATTGGAAAAATTATACACAAGAGCTGCAAAAGTGATTAGAAATAAAAGAAAGTTTAAAAAATATTCAAACAGAAGTGCAAGATATAAAGAAACATATAAACAAAATAAATAGTATATGAAATACAATAGAAAAAGCAATTATTACTGCAGCAAATAAGCACATATTCAAAAAAAGAATATACAAAAAAGATATCATAAAGCTACAAAGATTAATTAAATATACAAAAACAAGAAAGGACTAAGAAGTAACAGAAAAAAAAAAAGTAAGACAAATGAACAATTAAAAGCACTAGACAACAAAATAGGTACAAAACTGCTAAAATTACAAAGGTATTGGTTACATGTCTGGTTAGAAAACATAAAAAATAGCAAAAGCTCTTATAAGAAAAGAAGAAAAAAGACTAAGAACAAGCACAAAGAAGGCAAATAGAAAAAAATAGACAAATAATATAAAATAAACAAAACAGACCCAGAGAAAATATTTGTTAGTCTTTTAAACAAACTATATAAAAAGATAACACTTGATAGGCTCATTAAACAAGAGAAAGAGAAGATATATCTAATAACAAAACCAAAAGAGGCTAAGACAAATGAAGCAAAATATTATAAAATGCAGTTTAAAAAAAGAAACACCAAATTAAAAACAATAACAGAAAAGTGGAAAGAGATATACAAACCAAAAAAAGTCATTAAAACAGAATGATATGCAGAAGCTAAAGAAAAAATTAAAAAAAAAAAATAGGAAAAGATACTGAGAAAGTTAAAGACAGGAATAGCTTCAAGTATCTCAGGTATAAGCTATATACTGATCAAAAGAGCAGAAGTGAAAACACAAGAAGTTTTTAGAAACTTTGTAGACTTATACTTAGAAATAGAAGAATTTCATTAAAGTAAAAGATAGCATAAGTTTACCCAATACCAAAAGACTTAGAATAGGAATATAGTTTAAACAACATTTGCCCAATAACACTAATTGAAACATTTAGAAAAGTTGTGACAAAGGTGATAACAAAAAGGCTTGCCAAAGTATTTATAAAAAGATAAATACTTAGAGAACCAAACTTTGCAAGCCTTCCAGAAAACTCAACAAAGCAACCAGTACAAATGTTAAATATAATAATAAAGGAAGCAAAAGAAAAAGATAAGAAAATATAGATACTGTTGCAGAATATGAAAAGGCATTCAACTCAGTTTCTCTTAAAGGTCTTAAACTAGTATTGCAAAGAGTCAAAATACCTAAGAAAACAATTAAATATATATTGAATCTTTTTCACAAAAGACAATTAAGAATAATTACAGCCTATGGTCTAATAGAAAAACTAATAACAGAAGATAGAATAGACCAAGGTGAAGTAATTTTACCATTAATATGATATTTCTTCTATAACTTATTATTAGAAAAAATTCAAGAAGATGAAAATCTAAAGTATACAGTCAAGCAACAGTTACAAAAAGGTACATAATGCAATAATATTACAAAATATCATCAAGTAGCAATTGCATATGCAAATGATACAATATGAATTGCAAGCAGTAAAGAACAATTGTTAAAGATCTTAGAAATAGCTAAAGAGTTTTTAAAATGAACAATATAGAGATAAATGGATCAAAGTTGAAACTAATAATAATGAATATAAAGTTTGAAAAAAAAAAGCAGTAATATATAGGAAATTTAAGATAATAGAAGAATCAAGATATAAAATAGTTCATTTATTGAAAATATAGTTAAACAACAGAATGCAAGAAATACAAATAAAGAAGAAGGCAAAAGAAATAGTAAGCCAAATAATAAGAGATCTAAAGTATAAAAAAATAATAATAAGTCAGATTATATATATAAACAATATAGTAATAATACCTAAAATAAGCTATATGTTACAGCTAATAAAGATATCAAACAGAAGCCTAAACAAAATATATTAACCAATAATAAGTTTAACAAAACAAAAAAGCAGTTTGCAACAAATAGTAGAAAACTGTATAATAGAATACAAAATTCTTGGCAGCTGTAAAACATTGTAACAAGAGTTAACTATAAAGCAAGTGAGTGACCTCTTAGCAAGACTAAACAGACAGACAGCCTCAAACAGCTAATGAGGTTAAGAATAACACAAGGCTGTTAAAGAACAGGTTTAGCAAAAGACATATAGAAGACAAAGAAGTGGCCAGAAAATGAAACATATTTGAAAAATAATTTAGCATGTCTTACAATACTCAAAGCAAGAAAACTTAAAATAAATATTAGAATAAAAAGTGAACTATAAACAATGTTTGAATATAATACTAAAATACAAGAACTAGTAGATATACAATTGTAGAAAAAAGGTGCAATTAGAGTAAATAAAGCAGGTCTAATATATCTAAACCAACTACTCGATACAAGAAGAGAAAAGTTAATCATATGACAGCAACTAAAAAAC